TGTTATAACTGAGGTCGCTAGGACGGTTCTTTCCGATTACGCTATTCCACTTTTCAGTGTGTGTTCCGACATACGCATTAAAATCACCTATTAGAATGAGGATTCTCGCATTTCGAACAGAGCACACTCCACTTCTTCAAGGAAGGACTCATATTCTCCCTGTAAATTGGGCGCATAGACCTATAACAAGGTCAGAATTTTAGCCTGCTGTATCTTCAGTTGGAGAATTGCCACCTTTCCGCTGGCAGGCTTCCCTTCAATGATTCTCTCAGCCAGGTTGGATTTTACCAGAATAATTATACCATGTGTAATTATACTGAGTATGTAATGTATAACTTTAAGCGGTTTTAATGTTTTCCGCATAGTTACTGCACATTGATATATTGGTTTTTCGTAGAAATCATGTAGACGTTCGACCAAATCTCTCTCACAAGAACGTTGCTCCGTTTTCAAATGAATCATGTATGTAACATATAGTCTGTGTAAGTTTTTTTGGAATTTAAGACATGCATATTGCCATTAACTTTAATGCTCATTGGCGAATGAATGCTAAATGCTAAATCTTAAATATAGACTGGAAAGTTATGATGATTAACCCGGAAAGCGTTGAAGAATTTTACACGTTCGGACAGCAATTCAAGGAGTTGATCATCGAGTCTGCGAACATTTCTAAAAAGAACCTTGGGTCTGTTGGTCGGAAGCACAAGTTGCTCGCCTCCTATTCGTTGCAGGTAATCGGTCGGTATTACCCTGTAGCCTTTCTGATATGTAATATTTGTTGGATTGGAAGATGATAGCGATAGCTTGGTGTAAGAACATTCGCTCAAAAACGGTTTCTACCTCTTGTTGCTTCATCTCATTTAAATTTTGTGTACTTACCGTCTAAGAAATTCGACAATTTTTCATTCCTCAGACAAGGCAAAACAATTGTGCTAAAGGCAGAGTACAAAGCCACAGAGTAAGAAAGAAACTTAAATAGGAGTTTACCGAAACTGCTGCGCATATCAAGCATTTGTTCTTAGCAGCCATTCGACGTCTGACGATAAAAAAAAACTGCTAAACTTCTCTAGAATTGGATTTCATTATTTACACCATCTCTTCCTTTTTCTGAATTTCCTAGAAAGTTAGACAACTTCTGTAAAGGCATGTCTCTGCATGTCTTGGATGACGGAAACTACGTCCACAGATTTCTTTAGATTAAGTGTTACACTGTTTTCTTTCATCCGGTTCCCCAGCTCTTGAATGGAGACGAGGAAAAGCAATTATTCAAATCTGGACTGTATTGAGGTCAGTAGTGCAATATCATCGGCATACTTTACGCATGTGGTGGTAGCATCGGATGAGCGACATTGCGAAGTATATCAGATGAACAGTGCTGGTGACAAGCAGGATTCATATGCGACCCCTCCTGCCGTGATGCGAAACGTCGATTTCTCCTTATCGACCTGAACAGACTATCGAGTAATATGTGGCCAGCAAGTTGGAAATGGGGCACTCCATGCAGATGCTGATTATAAACATACATAGTTAGATTATTAGTCAATTCAGGCATCCGGAAGAGCAAAGAAAGCTGATTATCACTAGTTTATCTGTGAGGAATTTTTGATGTAAATTCATTTGTTGTCTGTGCCAATTTCTGTGTATAGTTTGAACTTGTGATGAAACCGTTTTGTGCTTGTATTGCCACCGATGTACATAAATTAATAAACTAGATTAATTGATAAGGAAGTTTTACGCTGACATGCATGCTTTACAGAATGAAGTGTACAAATGCCGGTACATTCTGGAAGAGGATGCGGTCGAAGAATTCTTTGGGTTCGGAAACATGGGCGTTTTGACGAGGAACGACGTCATCATTCAACGTACATTTTCAACCGACTTCGACATCAAAGATGTATGTGATGTTTGTTTCGATTTCTTTTCAGTCTCTGCATTTTTATAGGCTTTCAGGCAAATAGTTATTCGAATGGGAAGGTGTTGGAAAAAATTAGGTTAATATAGCAGATCGGGTTAAGAATGGCCATTCCTACCGATATGCTGACGGAAAAGGGTGATATTGGCATAGATGTACCACCTGTGGTGTTTGCTTTCAGCATCCTGTATAACAGTATTAAAATTATAATAAATCTACCACGACTAATAACTACTTTACCGAGTATAGTGTATATAAAACTTAGGGAAGAACTATACGAAAGAACATCACGTACAATCTGGAACGAAGGCTGCCCATAAGGTGGTTCAACATCTCATCCACTGTTCGCAAAGCCGAATTGCTCTCGTCATGGTCATTCAACGACGTGGTTGACTGCTTCATGCGGTGCAGCGTCATCTCAAACGAGAATCTAAACCTTATATAATGCTCCATGTATCCAACGGATTACTAACCGATTTGGATCACGGATCGTGTGATCGAGATCTATAGTTCCGAAAGAACGACTTTTGAAATTGGTTGGAAGTCCTTTCTGCCAACCAGCTTGTGCAGCATAGCAGAGATAGTTAGACTGCGATTCGGCAGTGGTACGGTAGAGGAGGTTAATCTTATAAGATCAAGGGTATTGAGTACGTGAATGGGAGCCGACGTCATTCAAATCAAGTAGAACAATGCAAACATCAACAGGGCTGTGAAAACGGACCCGACAAGAGCTTTTCTCCTATTGAAGTCGAACACGGGCGTAGAAAAAAAAGACGGGACATATCTGGGCGATCCGCTTCTCGTTCTACCCTTTATCAACCTCTCACGCGGCTTTGCATCGAGACCTGTCCTGTGATTCCCTCTTCTGGCATTGCTCTGTTTTATGTATTGTTTTGAATGAAACACGCGCCACAGGTTTTTAGATGTGTGTATCTGTTATGCAGATAGTGATAATGATGACAGTCAGTCGCAGTTTAGTCAACGTTACTACCACTGTTAAGTTAACAGTCGTGTTGTTTAGCCTTGAGCGCTTTGCCTAGCAGAATGTCTCTGGTTTGTGATGTTCGGCTTTTCCGCAGCTTTTCAACACTTTTCCTTTAAGATACCGGTTGCTGCGTCGCAGAAGGCAATATTGCTTTCAGAAAGCGTATCTACCCTATATTTTCCTCCAAGTTGCCTGCTGGCCATGTTTTGGCTCCCACGCGAGAAGCTCATCTGCTGCAGTAAATGGTTTATACTCAACCAGGTTGTGTTACAATTCAATCTCCTTTCCTTAATCTCCGTATCTACCGAGGTACCTTGTGCCCGGAAGAGAGTGCAGCATTCCTTAAACTGTCTTGTCATTTAACCCTCATTTTGCGTCTGAGTCAAGTGGCAACAGATAGTTGAATCAGCCGTCGTTAGAACAACTGCTCCTTCGTTAGAACAAGTGTCTGGATGCCATACAACAACACTGATCTGACAGAAGCAAGGTGCAGGCAGATTTTCATATGAAGAGTAACTCCGTTCTCAGCTGAAGTATTGCACAGGTTTTTAAAAACACTCGAGGCTAGGGCTATCCTCCGATTTGACATTGGCTGGATAATCCAATCGCTGGAAATGATAAGACAGAGATAATTAAATCTGTTTCCATGCAGTAATAGTCGTGCTGCTGCAGTATTAACTAATGCTACTTTGTATGACAAGGTTGGAGTGCTCGTACAAGGTGTTTCTTGTTGATTAAATGCTAATGGATCCAACCAATCTTGAGGGCGAAATGTGACGTAATGGGCGGCTTACAGAAAAACATTATTTTCATCTTACTTCATTTTCATTTTGAGGTCTCAGACGTGCCGAGCGATTTGGCTATTGCGCTATTGTACTATAATTCTTGTTTCAGGTTCTCTGGTGCGACTTCTCACCCGCCATAGGAAGCCCTATGTGGAATAACTGTTTTGTTTTGCTCGGTTCCAATGTCATGGATGTTTACCTAAACAACGGTGAAATGTTCGGTCTAACTTTGCCTTTTAATGTAATTAATTTTTCCAGCAGATTAGCATTTTTTCATTACTGAATGTTTGTTCTTCTTCTTAGGTTCAGCGTTGCTTCACGGCGTCGTTTGGACTCATTTTTGAACGAGTACCTATGAAAACGAAGTTAGCTGTTTTTCCTTTCTTCTCTTCCATGTATCGCTAATGAACGAGTCGCCATGTTCATTTTTTCAGAAGTGAGATGCAGACGGTTCCTACGATTTTCTCCCTGAGCCACCCTATGAACGAATTGCTTCCGGTTGTTTATCGAACTTCTGAAAGTAATATTTATTTTTTTAGCATGACGGAAAAAATGCTGTTTTTGTTTCAGACAAATCCGCGGCTCATTACTTGGCAAAATACTTGACCGCGGATTTCATATCCGTAGTATTCTCGTCCAGCGATTCGTTCATTTTGACATACAACCGTAAAACCGGCCTCCACGGTGTCTGGTATTCAAGGAAAGCTTCAAACGAGGTGTGGTACCATTCGACACTTTCATTTTACTCTACATGCGCTGTATAAAACATTTCTTTTAAGGAAGCTTCTGCTGCAGCTCAATGCTTGGAAGAGTCTTTCTTATCAATGATGGACGCATCGTCACTTGTGGCGGACGTTTCAGCTGGTTTAAATGTTACCATCAGTGGCGGCGGCAACGTACTGCGCGAAACTCGTTCGACTAATGTTCCTGCATCGTCGTTGACCAATTTGACACAGGGCGCGGGTGTGTTTTCTGTAACGGTCTTTGTCAGTAGGATCTGCGAATTGTTCAACGCTTGCGTGTCAGTCAACATTTTCAGCAGCAGCTCTTCCCATAAAAATACTCTTGTACCTTTCTTTTGTCATAATACTATTGTTGTACGGCATGGAGACAGTTGTTCTAGCGAAATATCAAGAACGACGGTTGAGCTATGTACATCAGCATTGCCTTTGACACATATTAAGTGTTAAATTCAGTGACCACGTAACCTTTTTTTCTTGTCCCGGACTCAGTTGACTTCGGTCGATATGGAAATGAAGAAAAAGAGGTTGGTCATATTAGATATGGTTGAGCATACACGACTTACTTCAGCCCGTGAGTTCTCTACTGCGAGCTGAAACACGGTAGACGTCGACCAGGAGGCCAGCGCGCAAATGGAATAACAACATAAATGTGGATGTGCTTTTGGAGAAGATTATTTCCTTTTGCGATGCTGCGGCTGGCGTCTTACAGCAAAAGATTTGAAATGCTGCGGTATGCGCTCTATCCGAAGTGATTATTTCAATAAACAGCGTTTCTACGCTGTAACGAAGTTAAGAAAACGTAGTTATTTGGCACAACAATTCTAACTTCAGCCACAGCTGACTGACAATCATGGTAATGGGAAGGATTATAGAAGGAAGGAAAGTTTGTCACCGTTGGAATATCGGTCTTCCTTCGCTTTTATTATTGGATGATATTTTGGCGCCATTATTGTCTGTAAGTTCAGGGTGCAGCGTTGATCTTTTTATGCCATCTGTCAGGAGTGTCTTATTTGTTAAAGATAGAGTCTATAATCACGTGGCAAGTGTATTGTCTAGTCTCCTGTTCCCTTCCCTCATTGTAATACTCATTCAACCTCAAACGGAAGATGGGTGAGTGATCCTGATCGAGGCTTGATTTCGGGACTTATTGTGTCTGAGTGCGATGTTCTACCGACTAAACAACTTGCATCGGAAACGAAATGTGATAAATTACTTGCTCGAGGGAATTCGTGAAAACAAAGATTACCTTTGAGCTGAATCAAACCTGAGAACTCCGTAGTTCAACGCAGACCTCTTAGACTCAGTGAAAAGACGGAAAGATTGTGAATGACCTCACCTTTAAATGTCGTCCTCTTAGAGCAGGCACTCCTGTCTGACGCCTTTGTAATGCGGATTTTCGATGTGGCGTCATCATCAGCCTGCTTCGATCCACTGCTTGAAGAAGGTGTGTCCAAGATTTTATTGCCGTAAACATGTATCTTGTGATTTGTATCCATCTTCTTTAGCCCCACCTGCCATCGACCTAGAACAAGTGACGTAGCGTAACATATATGAAAGAAGAATGCACTAGATGATGCCCACTATGGAAGTTTAACTGAGAACGATAGCCCAACGGTTGCATACTTTTTTCACAGCTTTAAACATTTATAAAATCTCATAGTCTGAAAATTGTTATCAGCAATTGTTATCATCTTCTTCACTTCATATTACGTCTGTGAAGAAGTTAAAGTTCATGGTTTAAGCTGGAAAATCAGTGGTGGCCAGCTTCTGACATTATGTATACTCCAGCAGTACATCGCCGTCTAATTTATAGAACGAACACTCTCTGACAATGTGGTCCATAGTGTGGTTATCGTCTTTGCTCTGCATTTAGACAAACCCCATGATTTCTGTCTCTGCAGATGGACATACTCTGACGTGTCCAGTTTTATATGGCTAATAGAAAACCACATCTTCCTCAACCAGATTTACGGATGCTGGGGTCCTGCATTATTTATTCTTTTGGAAAGGTCAATGTGTTCCATACTGTTCAGGAGCTGTTGTCAGCGACGGGCTGGTCTTGGTTCCACGTTAAAGTTCAAAATGGCCTGATATCTTTAGCAACTATTCAAGCGCTTTTTGAGATAACTGTAAAGTTGGGTTTTGGCGTTTGCCTACAGTTCTCTATTTTTTCCGTGAAATTTGCGGTTTGCCGTTGTGTATGCAGAGAGTGCATGTCAGATAATATTATACCCCATGAAATGGGGGGGGTTCACAATTCATATAATTGTCTGCAGGATAGAGTTCAGCTGGATGTTTACTTTTTTAGCGTGGGCACTCTTAGACCAGCCTGATGCGTAATATTCTGTTGCAGAAAAGGCACTTGATTATTCGGTCATGTGCATCCTATGCTCACTTCTGCACCAAAGCAAGAAAGTGTATGACATTCACTTACGATATGATTTTTGTTGCTGCCATATACAGGCACTCCTTGAAGATGAAGTCCCGGTCATGAGTGATTACATGTTATTTGTAGTGTTGTTAATGCTTCGTTTGGTGACTACAGAATGTTACATGTGACTTCTTCGCCATCCTGTGGTCAAGATTGAATATGGACGTTATGATCTTAGTTTTTAGCCGTGGTTACCACGTAACCTTTTGTGTCAGCGAACGGAGTTCAGAGTTTTCTAGATATGTTGGAAACATTGAGCTTACTTTGTAAGCGCTTGATGATCAGCGTAGGCTAATATTCCGAGTGTTGTTCCAGGGATATCTCTTATCACGTGGAACAAAGAGAGTGCATGGAATGATCTCTGTGACAGCCTGTTATTGAGAGTTTGCTGGGAGTTAGCGTGCTTGCTGAGGAGACTGTTGTTTTTATGCTGCTCAGTATCTACAAGTAGAGACCATCTCGCACTGACACGGCATCATCGGGATCAGCTTCTACATCAGACCATGTTTCTACGCAATGCCAAACAGTGATGATCGTCGTAAAAGTGAAACAGCAAAATATGCTGTTATTTTTTCGAAACATTGACTCCGGGTAAAATTTAATTTAATGTTTTAAAGCATCAATTAGCGTTAGTGCTTATGGCGATCGAAACCTCAAGACCCGATATCTAGGAGAGAACCAAGACTGATTTTCGCTTAACTTCGCAATTCATTTGGCTCACAATTTAGGCTCATCACAGCAAGTCAGCACTGGGTCCAGTTCGGAGGCGCTGCTAAAGCTGTCAGCAAGTATCCAAAGTGCAACCGGCGGCTGTTCGCACAGTTTTGGAAAACAGAAGAGCGATTCGGCCATCATGACAACTAGCAGCGTACTTACCCCCGGCGATGGTTCAAAGTCGACTTTGCTGAAGTTTTTGTCACCGTTAACTCCTACATCAGAACCCCAGAAGCGCCAGTCACCTGCCGTATCGAGACTTATGCAGATGAGGCAAGTGTTTTATCAGTAACTATGCGTGAAGTCTATCGCAGGGTGACTTTTTCGCCCCTGGGTTTTCATCAGAAGTGTTGAACCTGCGTTCACATATGTTAGTAGCATCTTGCACTTAGAATTGAAATAGTAATGCAACTTGAATAAGTTGCAAACGGTGATGTATTTCACGTAGCTGGGAACGTAAGGGACACATAGACTATTTTGAATGAGGCACTTGAAGGATCTTTTGATGCCCATCGACTGGCTCAGATGCATTTCTCAACATAATAATATAATCTGCAAACTTTTCATTTCTGACAGAGGCAGCCCTTTTTCACCGTTATCAGCATGATTCACCGTTGTCGTTTTTTAACCATCATCAGGATCGCGGTGATGGATTTTCGTTATTATTTTCTCATTATCATTAATAAAACCATAACTGCACCAAACCGTTTTTCATTGTGATAGTATCGTTTCAATGTGACCATTATCATTGTGTTTATCGCATATACATTGCTATAATCAACCTTGTGGTGATCATCTGTATCGTAATAATCATCATAACCACTGTCATGATCCTCTTCATCGCCTTTATCTTCCTTGCAATATTCATTACTATAACTATCGTAATGAATATCATCGTCATCATCGTAACAGTAATCATCGTCGCCACTGCCAAATGTCTTGGTTATCACCATAATCATGATCATTACCACAGTGATCATTGTATTAGCGTTTTCATGAGTTATCATGTAGCCTTTATCGTTGCTTCGTCGTTCCTATCACCATTCTAGGTCATTATCAAAGTTATGATTATCACAATACGCATAACAGCCGTGATTGTCACTATCGTACTCATTATCAGTAATTCATATAATGGCAGGTCTTTATAGCTAACCTAACTGTTACATCGAATACATCACACTACAGAATAATTAACCCTAATATTGGGGGTTACATAACTTGATTGTTACCCACTGGTACGTCGTTGTTGCATGTACTCATCGGATTCGGATTATTTGAATGAATACGCTTAAATAGTCTCTCATGGGACATCTAATGTTTTATGCACCCTAATGTCAGGTGGAAATTTTGGATACGCTCAAACATTATGTAAAATATACAGTAATTTATTCCGTTTCATCTTACGTAGCTTATTTATTTAGCTTTGGTAAGACTTGTCACAGATCGCCGGTGCTAACAGCGATGTCCATTAGCGAAGGGTATCCGACTCCGGCCAGCCGCAAAAGTTTGTTTCTGTGTCGCTTTGACGCCGCTGTTTACTGATGTTGCAACGCTTTAAGACCAATCAGTTTGTTCCACTACCAATCGCAATAATGTTACGGAAAGTAATTTCTATTGGCCGGCCGAACCACCCATTCCTGACATCTGCATGGTGTTGCTGTGGCAAGAAAAGGCGATATTCAAAAGGTTTGGAGCATTCAGCTTGTTTGGGCGAGTTTTATTTCAAATTACTTGTTCGCATGATTCTAGTGATGCTAGAGCAGCGAAGGCATTTGTGTCGACCGACATCGTCGGACAGCCTTTTCTCTTCTACCTAATTCGAGAAATGCAGCAACTAAGGTAATCGTGCGTAAATCGAACTGTAATACTGGCAGAATTTTATTTCCTTCATTTCTTCATCATATGATTTTGAAAAGTTAGCGTATATCGATCATGTCGATCTCGATTTTGTATTTAGCAGTGAGTCGTTTTGCACGTGGTTATATGGATGCGATCATTAACTATATCGTAAAATCTTTTCGCTTGTATTTCATGCGTACAGTTAAAATTATTTTCATTGGAAAATGTTTCCTCGTGATCTGAATTTTTAACTTCATCATTTCGCAACCGTTTGGTGTGACCCTGATAACTGGCAGTTGGCAGATACTGTTCTTCATGTGAACGGCTAACGACATGATATACTGAACTGGTTAATATTATTATACTACATTTCTTCGTTCTTGACCACCATGAAATTATTTTCTCAACACCATCTAATATATTCTATAAGTCATTATATATTTTTTCTGAGGGTATATTGTGCCATGAAATGATTTCTTTGTTTCTTTGGGAATTAATACAGTTGGTGGCCCTGAGTCTAACCATCCGTTTGCATAGTTAGACTGCTATTGTTTTTGACGGATTTATCTTCGAGGCATAAACAGATGTGTAAATCTGTAATTGCCAGTGCCTTTTTAATCGACAATTTTAGAGTTAATGAATAGTCTTAATGATTTGATTTTCATCGCTTATCATCCAAGCATACGATGGACCTAACTTTGTCGTTCTATGCACGCCGATATTAGATATGTAAAGAGCAGTGATAATCGGCAGCGTCAGCGGTGTGCGAATAACCGGTCTTTAGCTAGATCCATTGTACTTATTTTGGTGCTTTCCATCATGAATTCAGAATACTTTTGTTGATGGCCATTTCTTTCCGTTATATTTGTCTATCCTCTTAGGAGAAAGTAAACGCATGCATTGGCGTATAGTACAAGAAACTTTTGAGCACTCTATGGGTATATTACAAACTGATCATTCTTATAATCCTCAGGTTCGTCAGTACAGCAACTTTGCTGAAAGAGATTCTTGCTTTTGGTGACTTTCTGCCATGCAGATCAAGTACCCCTTTGTTTCTCTTCCCAGTCTCTTATGCCGTTTTTCCTGCATTTCTTTGGGCGTTCACTGAGCCTTTGTCCTTTGACGGTGCCTCGCTTAGGGGGTTTCCAGCAGGCCAGTCGCGGTCATCTGGCACCAGTTTACGTTACAATAATTTAATTAATACAATGAATAAATAGTGCAATACCTTGTCCGTTTAATTGCTCCCGTTCATTTTAAGGTGCCTGAAGTTTTATTACAAAGATGACGGTTGCCCAGCAGTTTCGAATGATCCGTTTCAAGTGATCAGTTGTAGGGATGCATGTCCCTGTCTGGTAAATATTGGTATTTGATCATTTGTTCAAGAGTTCTTTCGGTACATAAGTTTCAGTGCCATTCTAAGCTGGTCATTTTCTAATGCACGCATTTTTTTTGAAATCAAGTATTGACGCTGTGTTTCACTTATTTAGTAGTGCAATAACATTCACTTTGGGTAATAGGTCTTATATGGGTGTCTGAACCCATGAACTTATAAGAAAACAGGAATCACTAGTTTGTTCTCATATAGAAAAATAGCATGTACCCGGTTAATCACTTTTAAAATAAAATTTTTGAACGTATCCTTATCCATAACTCTTTTATCCTCAAGTTTCTGTAACGCAACGTTTAAGGTGTAATTTTCCCATATG